CCTGACCCTGTGGAGGGATCACAACAATTGGGAAAGAGAAAAGGGGGCAAAAGAAGAGAGACTGAATGTGAGATATGAGAGCAAAAGCATGTATTATTTTTACCCAAAAAAACCCAATCTCTCTGTGGCTGCCTCCTTTTTTCTTCTAATCTCTGAGGGTCAGGAGGCAGATACTGGCTTCATTGTAATTTAGGGTTTTGCTGCAGATCAAGTTGAGTTGAATGGGGGTGTGGATGTTCATTTTTACCTTTTCCATTGTTTGCCTTCCCTGGTCACTTTTGTGTGTTCCTGCCCCCAGGTATTGGGCACAGTTAATTCTTCCTGCAATTAGTATTCATGGTCAGCTAAGCAGAACTAATGCAACAAACCATTTTTACTTTGAAGGTTATATTACATGTGTCCAAGCTCCTGCGGAAAAGGCTCTTTATGAATCAGATATTCTTGACTATCTCTAGGAATTTAATTTTCCCTTTTCTGAATTTTCAAGCCTGCCTATTGAATTCTTTAATGTGATTCCCCAGGAAGCACCCAAGCCAGACAGACAACCGGATATAGCCAAATTGTTGGTATTTTAAAAATCTTTTCTTCCCTGGAGGTGCAAGTCAAGAGTACATGCCCCTGCTTCTTTTAGAGTGGTACTTGTCTCTTCTTTTTACTGGTTCCTTTGATATATGTATATTGTTCCTATCAATCATATTAGTAAAAACAAAAAAGATGCGCATATATTTAAAATAAATACAAGGAGGGTGCTGAGAATTCTGAGTGCTGAACCTTTCAAAACTATATTCAGTTATTGCAGGTAATTTCCCAGATAGCAGAAGAAGCAAGAAATATTCTTTTTAAAAATCCTTAAAATTATTTTTTAGAATAGCAAAGTGACTTCTTTATACTGAATGCCTAATACCAATTAATACTTTAAATGGTCAAAAATGGTCAGAAAATTTGTTTAGCAGCTTTGGAAAAATCCTAATGACTCCAAAATGATGGCGTAAATCAGCTAATTTAGCATTATTTAAATGTGGTTTAACGCAGTGAACACATACAACCTTCAGCTATTCAGCTTTTACAGTGTGCTGATTTTGTCCCATTTGCTTTCTTTTTTATTCTCTATATGGTTAAAATTAGCATTAGATTTTCAAATAATGCTCTTCAGAGTTTTATATTACATATAAAACAAAAAATCTAGGAAAGAAGTAATATCTGATTTTTTAAAAAAGATGCCTTTAATTCTTGGTTTCTGAATCTTGACATCAGATTTTGTTTATTTTTTTTTCAGACTAAAAGATTTTTTATTTTTTTAAATTTGCATTTCTCCTTTTGTCAGTAGTGAATCTTATGTCCATAAGACTGTGTTTTCCATTTTGCTTTGACCACTAGGAAGCTCTGACCCAAAATTGTGGCCAGCTTCTAGCAACTTAGAGGGGTGTATGAACCCAGCTCCCCTCCACACCACCCCGACTTAACTTTTTCTCTCTGATTTGTCAAAATTTTGTTTGTGGATGTCTATATGCCACCTACTTCCCTCTTCCACCTTTAAAAAACATTAAATGGAGTACATGAAGTATGCAACAAAAAAATTGCTTATTGGAAAAATGGTGAAGCCCCTAAGAAGGCATCTTTCATTTTCCTTCTGGGGTTGCGCTCTCCCACCGGGCTGCCTCTCACTTAGGGTTTTTCATTTACATCTCACTCTAGGGTCTCACCCAGAGCTGGGCCCTCCAGTGCCCGATGGGGAGGGCAGTGTGAATACAGAGTTGGGGGTGATACGGTGGCTGAGGAGGGCTTAGCAAGGAGGCCCAGGAAACTCACTCTCCAAAGAGCTCTTACGCGTAACGGGAGGAAGCAATTCTGCTATTTGTGAATGAAGTCTTCTTCGAGTCAGGGCTCTGGAGCGTGGTCTTGGCACATGCAACAGGGGCCTTCTGGGCTTGTTGGGCGGGGTGGGGTCTTCTGCCTCCAGCCTGGAGATTATAGTCTGCAAACCCTCTTGTAGTGAATGTGCTGTTTCCATCTCTATATACATATGCATGTGAACACTTTAAAAGCCCCCCCCCTTTACTTCCCTCTTCTTTCCCCACCAGTTTTCCTGTGGAGGTGGCTCCCTGCCAGGGCCACCAGAGACCATGTTCACTTTGAGTCTGTGTCTGTCCTTGTCTTGTTCACGCACTGCCCTCATCTCAGGGGAGGAAGACAGGTCTCCTTGGGAAAAAAATACCTGTTTTCCCTGGAGGATTCGCTTAAAAAACTATGGAAAGCTACAGTTGCATCTGGAGAAAAAAGGAAAGTGGAGTTTTCTCTCTTAAAATCTGTTAGGTTAATAAGACACCCAAACAAACAAACATATAAAATGCAAGGCTGTTTTTTTTTCTCTGATTAAAGTATAGAATTTTGTTGAACACACCAGATGATCATGGCTCTTTTTCCTTCCTGAGATTATGCATTTCAGATGCATAATGCAGTCCATCGAGTGTTCATTTCTCAAAAAAAAAAAAAAGACATCTGTTGGTGGATTTCTTCTCAAAATGCATGCTTCAGACAGCAGAAATCTCTGACGAGTCAAGTACAGGTGATTAAAGCTTGCAATGTAAATCAGTTAACATCTGTAATTTCCCTTGTTCTCTAATGCTATTAGTTATTTAAAGGGTAAAAAGGATGTTTTACTTAATTTTTTTGAATCTTACTAGGTACCCGTAGCTTAACTTAATGATTTGTATAAGTGATAGTAATTGCTGGGACTACAGTTGAGTATTATTAGCTATAAAATGAACATGGTTATATGTCCAACAGAACTAGCAAGGGACAGAAATGCAGTTGTATCCAAGAGAAAATAATTACAGCAATAATCAGTGTAATTCATGATAATGGCTGAATTGAATTTCACACCATAGCTCCAAGCACTTACATTTAATGAATGTAGTTTGTGCTTGTTTACTAAAAAGGTTTTTAGCAGAAAATCGATAATGTAACTTCAGTGTTTCTAATTGCAAATGCAATTATTTTTTTTTAAAGCAGTGGTTCAATAAGGATTTTGTAGAGAAAATTGAGGTATGTGAGTGCTGCAAATGCTGGCGCTTTAATTAGTCTACCTGTACATTAGTGCCATGGTGCCTTAATATCTATTTATTACAACATATTGATTAAAATGGATTTGTATTCAATTTTAAGGCTAGCTAATGTAATGGACATTGAAACTTTTCTGGAAGCATTGGCTGGGATTACAACATGTCACTGGGTAATGAGGCTTTCCTTCAAGAGGTGATTTCAGAAATCATCCTCCAACCCCACTGGTGGGGCCAAGGAGGGGAGGGTCTGGACACGTGCTGTGCTGGTTTCCAAGGAGCGAGTGGCAGGGACACGTGTGGCTTTCAGTAAAACAGGTGGGTGGATTTTATCTTGCTGTTACAGATTCTTGCTTACTTGGGTTAACTTCTGTTGGTACCTTTTCCAAGCCCAAGGTACGCCTGAAAGGGTTATGCTGGGGTTGATGATCTTCTCCAGAGTCAATCCTTTGGACAGATCTCTGTGTTTGGAGATCCCAGCTAGTTCAGCATGAACCCCTCATTCTGAAGAAGCTGGAAAAACGCATTGTCTCAGGTCTCAGGCCCATGTTCATGCCTCACACTGATGTGAACAGATGGATCAGTGTTCTTTGCCTACCTGGATCCTTTTCTCAAAATGAACTCAGAGTTGCCCCTTTCATCCTCTTGAATGGTTGTCATGGTCACCATCACATCACCACCACCACCACCATCATCATCCTCTTTCTTGATGTCTTTATCTCTGCGGCATGTCTGTTGGATTTGTGATACAGTCTTTCTAAGCATTACTGGAGCTTTAGTCCACAAGTTGGGGGAAGACCCAGCTCTTGTGGAGCTGAATGGCCTAAATTCTAAATATATTCCCTGAATTGGATTTCTAACCTTGCTTTGGTAATATCCTGGTGTTGCTATCCCAAAAGCAAATTAATTTTTTGTGTGTTCAAAAATATATTGTATTTATTTTTGGTTAAAATCAGAAATAATCCAATGCAACTATCAATTTTTGCAAATGAAGATGCTGAAGCACAGAGAGTGATAAGATTTGCCCATCCCACAAAGTGGCAGAGTCAGAAATAGATGCCAAGTCTCCTGATTCTTCAAAACAGAATTAATTTTAAACTTGAATATTTTGCACAGAGGGAAGGAGTGGGGTTGTGTGTTACAGCTTTATAACCAACGTGGATATGCTGTTGAAATCCGAAAGCTTTAAGTGCTGGCTCATACACTATTGCTAGGAGTCCAAGTGAGAAGCAAGCATCCCAACAAACCTGAGCTCCCACAGGGTCTTCGGTCATGCTTTTATTAAAAATGAGCCCCCAGGGGGAGGCCAGTTGAATTTCTAGACCACCATGACAAGGCCTGGGGTGCTAGCTTTGTGGATTACTGTCCCCTACTTTCCGAGGGCCAGCTAGCCTCCCACCACCTCCAGGAGGCCTTTCCTAAGAACCAGGGCCTGTGGGTCACTCCCTCCTCTGGCTTCCTATGGTGTATCTTGGGTTGGGGGGCACCTAATTAGCACTTCTTATGAGCCATGCAGTGTGCTGGGGGCATCACACGAATCATGTCCTACTTTTACAACAGCCCTTTGGGGAAGGTGATATTGTTCCTCCCATTTTCCAGATGAGGACACTGAGGCTCAGTGGTGTTAAGTCAATGGCTCAGACTCAGATGGCTAAAAAGTCGATGAAGAAGCTAGAGTTCCAAGTGTTTCCTGGGAACACTGACTTCCTGGCTCCTTGGTGTCTGTCCCATGTGGTCCACATCAACTCTACCTTCTACTATTAGGCTGAGTCATCAGAGGTGCATTTTTTCATTTCTGGGCTAAAAGTTAGATTTCTCTACTCCCTTTCCTGCCACCTCCCTCCACTCCTGGTATCCTGCCCCTAAATCAATAAACGTTGGGTAAGTGAATGATGCCACAACTTGGGTGAATCTGACTTGATCGTGTCTTTCTTTTCACAGAGAGCACAGCTGCCGTCCATGTCGGGTGTGAGCCTCTGCTCCATCTCTCTGGAGCCTGGAGGCCAAGCATGTGACCCATGTCCGTGTGTTAAGACCCACCTGACACCTGCACAACACCACCAGGTATGTTGCTTTTATCTTCATGCGTGCATCCCACAGAGTAAGTGAGATGAAAAAAACCGATGCGAAGCAAGTATTTTGTCAGGGCTGAATGGGGTGGGAAGAACATCAACTGTGAGACCTCTGGGGAGCCCCTTCCCTTCCTGAGCCTCAATTTGCACATCTGCAAAGTGGAGCTAGTGGTCCCTGCCCTGACTCCCTCCTGGGCTCGTTTGGCAAGGCTCAGTGGGAGTGCGATATTCTCCCTGCATTTTGGAAACTGTAAAGGGCTTGACAAGGATAAGGCCATCTAATTAAGGAGGAGGATAAACAAAAGCCACCAGATGACTGGGGTTTCAGGTAGTGAACTCAGTCCCATCCAAAGGGAAATACCCTACAGGTGCCTCATCCTTTGCCATCCCCTAATGAGTAAACAGCCCAAGCCTTTGTAACTAGAGTCATTAATCTGCAAACTAAAAAGTTAATGGCCAGCCAAGCTTCTTCATCCCTTTGGGCGCATGGTGTATATTCAATATGGCTCCACGGAGCCAACCAGGAGCCCCTGCTTGACGAAATGATCTCTGTTGGGCTGGAAAAGACAGACACCCTGACTGTTTGACCAACAAATGTATAGAAAATAGTGGCCGGTAAGTAGCAATTATGTAATAATCTTATCCAAAGAAAATGTGGGCTCAAATTAAGATGATTTCACCAGGAAAACATTAAGGTGTACAAAGAGTTCTTAATAAATAGAAATAAATAGTGCGGGGTTTGCGCCATGGTTATTTTCGATGGTTATCTGCCCTCGCTGCCGCTGTTCGGGCTGCATTTTCCGTGGGGCTCAGAGCAGCATTTTGCTCTACAAAAACAACTAGCTCCTTCCCAGCCAATGATTACTTGTAATTATGCTTTCCCCTGCTATTATTCTAATAGACCTGTCATGTTGCTTGAAGGACTCTGGCGTTTGGAATATACGATGGCTTTTATGGATGGACTGCTGGAACACTTAATATAGCTCTATTTTTGAATTATCAAGTTCTATCCTTTTGAAGTCTGTGTTAGTGGAACTCCTATTTATGAGATGTGCTGTGCTTAAAGGTTTGCTATTGATAAAGAGGTCCAACAGAGCCTTTATCGTTAAGCACGGCAGCATTCTCCCTGAGAGATAAATAGCAGTGCTAAAAGGTATGGTGTGTACCTAGGCTGCAAATTACTAGCCAAGTACCTCGTAACAGTGTACTTCAAAAATACCTTTATGCTTCTTGTTTGTTCTCTTTTCCATAGAGATGAATGACATTTCTTAAAACATAGAGGGGTGGATGCATGCTGGTCATCACTGGTCATCAACATCACTCGGGCTGGTGGAACGTGTTTGTTCGGGCGCAGGGTGGCTGGGTATATGCATACGCGCGGCTTACATCCTCTGTGCTTAATGTTTCAAGAATTTAACTTGTTTTAAGTTTCTTTAATTTAAAGGTGGGTATGGCTGGACTCAAGCACTTTTTGGAGTCGGAAGAGAGTTTATAAACAAGGATGACTGTTGTGGGGGATCTAGAAAATCCTACTGAGGACTGAGCAAGGGCTGGCAGCTGGGGTCTTTGGGTAGTGATATGTGCAAAGGGTGGGAGGTGGCATTTGGCTTCTGGCAGAAGGGGCTGGCAGCATGCAGAGATCTTAGAAGTGGGTGGCCTGCTGGAGAAGTTGTCATCAGAAGTGGTTCCCAAAAGTCTGATTATCTGGGCAACTTGACCACCAGCTGGGTGAAAGTTTCCTTTAGTTGTTCAACCAGGTTGTTCTTTTGTGGACCCAAAGTTGCAGGCATTTGAGGCTAAAGTAATTGACAAGGCAGGCACTTTCTTTGGCCTTGGGTAGCTGTCACATGGGAAGACATTGTGTGGTTCACACACACAGGAATTTGGGGTCAGTGGATGGTCTGGCTGCCTCATCGTGTATAGAAATGCATCTGTGATACTCCAAGGTTCTAGCAAGCATCTCTGATGCAGACAGAACTCCCTTGGCAGCTGACATCAAAGACACAGAAGCGGGACTACGGAGCAGCCTTTGACCGCTGCTAGAATTTGCATGAATTCCCCAAAGAAGGCAGGCTGCTGCTCCGGAGTGTTTGCCTGGTGTTTTTCATTTGGAACCTTCATGCGTCAGACCCTGACTACACACTGCCTGTCTAATTCATCTTCACCCATATATTTTACCATTACGGATAGCCTTCCCCTTAAGCTTGTCTATTTACTAGCTGGTGTGACAGATGACAGCAACTCTGAGCCATGTTAGATGGCATTTGTATGGCTCCGATGCCAGAAGCATTCTAAGCGGCGGTGTTGCATATTTATTGATCTCCATATTCCCGATAATCTGATGCCCGTCACATTTGACAACATTATGTGGAGAGGTCAGCTAGACAGGGCTAATGAAACTGTTTCCAAGATGGATGTTGTTTTCCACAACATTACCCTTGCAAATAGCTGTCAGTGGGGCATTTCACTGTCGGGCTAGGCATTTGAGGATTTTTTTTTAATAGTTGATGTTAATATTAAACAAAACCTGAAGCTATTAAATCTTAGTATTTATATACGATAGAAAACATGGATATCCTGGCATCTTTCCAAATGAAAATCTTATTAACAGACATGGTGCTTGTGGCAAAGCAATTGGAGATTGGCTTGGCTGTCGAAATGTTTGACGGATTAGCTTGAGATGATGTGAAGGGCCAAATGGGAACTGGCTGAAGTCTGGAGGATTAAACCGGCAAATAGAAAGGCTGGCTGCAGACCAGAGGCACGTGGTGCTTTTCTGACCGTGTTTCCAAGCTTCCACACTGCTGCGAACAACCAGGACAAAACGCGCTCGGATTTAGATAAAGATTTACAGGGAAAAAGAAAGAAAGAGTATGAAATAGTGTTTGCAAAGAGGATCCCATTTAACAAAATGCTACATGTGAATTAATGACACAGGAAATGCACCGGGAGCAGTAATGAAAATATTAAAGATGGGTTTTCCGCACCTGAATCCAGAGGTCTTTGACAACCCAGCAAAGGGACAGTTAGAGACTTTCTCACTATCTGTCCTGAGGGTCACCATGTTGGACAGTGAACCTGATGACTCTTCTAAAGAATCCATCCTGGTTTAATTCCAGATGGATACATATTGGTTAAAGATTCACTGAAGAGTCGTAAGCAGCTATGTACTGATGTGATTTTTGAGAAATTTGTTGCATATCTCTGTAGGGCCACTGAGAATTTTGGATTCTTTAAGAAAAACATGGGCAATCTTTGGTCTGAAATGCACTATTTTACAAAGGTAGGTATATTTAATTGGTTTCTTCATGACAATGTTCCTCTTCCAACTCTACTTCAGAGTGGACACAAACAAGGATATATAATGGAATTAGTAGTACTTGGCTACTGGCTCATCCAGAACTTTCTCAACAATGAATTCATTTATTCAGTGCTAGCATTCAGGAACACGAATCCACCACATTGCTTATAGTCACAAAAACTGAAGAACTTCTCAACTTGTTTATTTTGTAGGGTTGGAGGAAGGATGCCAGAGAAGAGGTGATTAACTATTGTGCCTTTTCCTTTAGTGGATCTCTATACCTCTTTCCATCATGGCCTTTTGCATTGTGCTGAATGAAGAGGTAGAAAAGAATTGACGAGCTCGAGAGCAGTGAAGTTCATTGCTGGGCAGATGCTTCTGTTCTTTTCATTTGGAAAGCTTGCTTCTCCTTCATGCCCCCTCCTCCGCTCTCATGGGATATATACACCATTAAGAGAGCATGTTCTCTCTTTGACGAACACCTAAAAAGTAACAGGGGAAACAAAGTCTGGTAATGGCAAAAGTTAGCTTCAAGTAAGGTAGACTGGTACAGCATGCTGCCTGCAATTTGAGAGACACAATTTTCTTTAAAGAAAAACATCAACCAAAAAGTCATACGTGAGAGATGCAAGTTAAAGCTACCCTAGGCAGCTTTAATTTAGGCATGAGCCAATTACCTGAATAGTAGTTGCTATAGTAACTAGTAGATAATATGGCGTTTATGTTGCTATTGAGATATCTTGTACTTTACCGGAATAAGAAAAAGCAAAGGCTTCTAGGAGCAAAAAGACACTACGTGAAGGGAACATTTCTCATAACCATTTTACTTCTTCCATTTTACTATTTATTTGTGATGAAATGGGCTTGTACAATTACAGATAACCTGGGGGTGGTTTGTTGTTACTGATATTTTCCTGAAATGTCCCTTCAAAAGCCCAATCCCTAGGGCATCTCTGAAGGAGTCCTGGCTGTCATCTTGGATGGCCACCACGGGGAGAATTCTGCGGCTAGGCCTGGCATTCTGCAAGGTGTAGACCAACATGGGTCAGCTGAAGGTGAACCCAAAGGTCAAGAATGCTCAAGAATTCAGATGCTGTTGGAGGCTGTCATGTTATGCCTTTAATGTTATGCATCATGGGGTATTTGGTGGTTAGTGCAATTTTAGAAAGGATTTGAGATCCTTTCTGGAGACAATTGCAGTTTCTCAAGGAGGACTTGTGATGAATGAACCACAGTTGTCTCACATCCAGGGCTGAAGCTGATGGAGAGGCAGTAGAGAACAGAGGAATGCGGGCAGTTGCCACTTTGCTGTGTGCGGGAGTCTGGCAGGCTGACCCTAATAACTCAGGTCCCAGTTTGGATTTGGGGGCCTGTCTGCTGACTCCATGGCAACCCCCCCCCAGCAGTTGCTCTGCCTTTCACTGCTATATAGCACCACTTCCAAAACTGGTTTGGGCAAACTCCGGGTGCTACCAGACCTTTCGAATTCTTAAAGCAAAATTGATTTACATTAATTTAATTTAAAAACTCATGTCAATTAGGGCTTTTTTCTTTGGGGGTAGAATAGGGGGTTCTGAAGAAGGGGAAATTCAGAGGTAGGGTCCCGACAGCCCCAAATGATCATAGTGATGGAAACAAAACTTGACTGCATTGCGATGTCTCCATCTGTACATACTCCTCACTTCACACAC